TCTTTGTCTTCGAGGTAGAAAATAATCAATGTTATATATAATAGTACAAGACGTCACTTAGTGTTTAATATGACTAATTTCTGAAAATAAAGTAACGTGAAATTGTAATAATTATTGAATTAAAATTAAATAATAATTACCATTGGGAATATTAATATTAGTTAAACTTGTTCCTTTTTTCTAAGTAGAAGTTGTATTTTCATATCAACTGTTATGCTTGCGACAGAAGTGAAAAACTGCTTCCTGAATTAGGTATATTGCATTGTTAATTAAAGAAACGGGACAATTTAGAGTAATGCACTTTGCACGACACTAAAAATAACACGACATTCATAATAAGAAGTATTCATATATATAGAATACAGCAATACAACAGAGAAACGTAATTTCTTCCTGCCGATCAACCTATGAAGATCAATGAATAAAATTTTCATAATTGATCAAGAACTCTTCTGAACATCTGTATGGCGGCAATTCGAAAATCATATTTTCCCTGCAAGGGATCCGATGTCAAATTATTCATGACGAAACTTCGACTTGAGATTGCAAGGCATATTATCCTCGGTTGATTCAACTAACCATACCTTGTCTCGTGATATTATTATTACGACATTGTTACGACGTTGTGCGCGAATAATTCAATGAATTTCATAGGAGATTCGAGCAGAAACCGTTTCATTGTGCATCGACATGTACATGTATACAGCGGGAACAACGTACTTAATTATCGACTATCTGTTGGAATTAATCTGGTTCGCCCTGGCTCGCTCGCAACTACCAGGTAGAATAATAATAATCCCCTAGCATTCGTCCATTTATCACAGGGCGCTACAATAAGGAGATAAGAACGCGCGGCATTGTGCTGCTGTGCGTCCGTGATAAGTGCTGAATATTAACAATGCAACTATCTCGACCTTTGCCAGCCATTATACCGTTCATTAGCGGTAATGGGGATTGTATATTCAATTATCAATTGTTTTCTGAAATTAATTTCGTGTTCCTGGACTAGGCCTCCGTTCGAAACAATTCAAGCGAACAAGGAACTGTTGTTATACACCGAACTCGTTCCTCACGTCGGTTTCTTTTTCAACAGGGATGATTTAACGAGACGATGTTCACGCGTTTATTTATTTAACTCGCTCCTACGAACGAAGTTCCAACGTATCACGAAAACGTTGATTTTTATTTATTTAATAAAATAATATTTGTAGTTTTATTTATTTAATAAGAAAGTATATTTGTCCGGGCCACGGGGGAAATTGAAGTGTCGAGATAAAATCAATCATTTCCTGAAAGGTTCTCTTGTGTATCACTTTTTTTAGTCACTCTATGATATCTTCTCTATTAGTCCTAATGCAACTTAAACTGGTTGAAGAATCGGATGGAAGAGCTATTTTTCTTTAAATATCATTTTTTAATGTTCTTTTCAAGGTCTTTGGCATTCTTAAAGTAGGAAACGTGTACTTTTTTTCTATCCCATTATGTAGGTCGTGAAAAAATACATTCAGATATGTTTATAATATGACCTTCAAACGACCTTTAGGACTTGAAAATTTTTAAATTAATGTGAAACTTATGTTGTGTATGTTGGTAGATCGATTATCCACATTTTTTTTTTTTTGATATTGAAATGAACAAATTAGGTCAGATTGGTACGTATGTAAATACTGTACGAGAATTTGGAGAATTACTTTAAAAGAAATAATGGCTTTCTCGACTATAATATATATAATTTATGATATTTTCAAGTATTTTCAAATGTATCGGATCAACTACGATCAATAATATTTAAAAATGAAACTCACAGTCACATATTCATATACCCATTCATAAAGCTCTGATTAATTATATTCGAAAACGAAACTTGCAACTACAACATTCACATGTTTTTCTCTTGGAAAAATACGAAGAATACGAAGAACATTCGCTTTCAAACGGCAGTATATACGTATTACGACCAAAATTATCTGCCTTTTCTGCAAAAACTTTCGAGATAACACCTTGCATAAGAAGCTTAAGAATCAATAAAGACAGTTCAGTCGAGTTATGAAAAGTCTCTCTTGCAGAATTCTTTCTTCTCGAACCTCTCAGTACTTCAATAGTATTACGCGGCTAACTACTTTAATTTTCAATAAAGTTGACCGACTGTTCAGTGCTGGTATCCCGATTAATATTTCTTTCGATTAGTAATTTCCTTCTACTATCATAACACACGCATCGTTCCTCAGCGTTACGTCACCTGTGCCACCACCACCTGTCTTCATTCTATCACATCTCGACCGCCGAAATTTATTCGTGCCGAGATAGGAACACGCGTGTCGCGGACGTCGGAACCAGGCTGGTGAAAGGATCGTTGTGTTGCAGGGCCGCGGAGACGTCGCCTCGCTGGTCCGGAACTTGCTCGGCCCGATTTACGGCGATGGCGTTATCAATCTGCTGATAAGGCAGGCCCGGGACATCCTCGTGTGCGCTTATCACGGCAACTTGGAGAACTTCCTCAAGACTTATCTGTCACCGGCCGCGTGCCTGCTGGCGGAAGTGAAGTCCGCCGCCTCCGAAACGGTGAGTCCATTTCGTTTCCACTTCCCCTCCCTCCCTCCCTCCCCCTCCCCCCTTTTTGCCACTTTCAGCCCGATTTTCTAAGCTAAGCCTGCCGAGCTCTCGCTCCTCCGAGTGGGGGGAAAAAAAAACTGGCTCGTCCGCCAGGAAACGGGAGGAAAAACGGCGAAAAACAGCGGGCTCCGGATTGAGGCGGATTGTTCCGCGAACCGATTAAAGTAATCAGTCTCGTGATACGTCGTTCATACGGCCGAGTATGGACGCGACCGGATCCAGTTGGCTGCCAATTGCGAAATCGCGACTGATCGCACGGATGACACGGCCTTCTATTTATATAACCGGTGACCCGGTTTAATCGGCATCGATGAAAGCATCGAGAGATTCGTCTTTTTTGCACGGCGGTGGTTTCCTTTGCTCGGTGCTCGGCAAAGACACGTGCAGACAGGAGAGGTGTATCTCCGCTCCGAGATATCGTTCGCGTTTTAGACGTTGCTTTCTTTCGTGCACGCGCCATACCAGGCAAATAGGGAAACTTGTCGCCATATTATAAGACCGGTATGAATCGCAATTCGTTCGAAGTGACGCGGTTGTTTTTAACACGGAGTGAAAACAACCGATCTGCGATATAAATTATATATATATATATAT